GTGTCCAATCCGGTTTACTAAGATTGGTAAACAATTAGGAGATATAAAAGAAGGCAACGCCATTTTATGTTTCAGTTCCACGTTAACATCAGCTCTGTTCGATCCGAGCTCCAAAGGAGTTACATCATACTCTCAACATTGTTTTCAACCAGCTCTCAATCCATCACCGCCAAAGAGGAGTACAGGCTGGCCAGCTGTACTTCCTATATTAAGCTGAGAACTGTTCAAGCTGGAGATTTCCGTCGTTTGAATCAACGAGACGACGTTCCTTCAAAATAAGAGTGAACTTGCTGACGCCTGCCGACTACTACCGGAGTTATCCTCAGACGGGCTTTGTAGTGCTGCGACCGCTGTTCCACCAGCTCCAGTACAACCGAGGTCTTAGGACCTGGCATTTCCTGATCTACACGGGAGGCTCCATATACGGTACGTGGTCACGGCAATATGGCGGCTCATGTCATCAGCTTCTGAAGCCTCGTGGTAGCCTAGTCATAACAAACCAGATTCGCTACGTCAGCCTAGAGATTCTGAACAAAACACACACACACCAACACGAAACATCTAAATCCATATGCATTCATCATTGAGATAGTCCTGGTAGATTGTAAGAATTTATAATTATAGAAATTAAAGATTCTTAAACTATCCCAACTCTCTCTCTCTTTCCTGTCTCTCAGTCAATACAAAGTGTTTAAGTAAACTCCCTGATGATAAAAACGACCACTTCTGATTGATTACTTAGATCTAATTACAGTGTATAAATATACAAAATCAGATCATTAAATTATCTAATTACAGTGTATAAATATACAACTTCAGATCATTACATCAAACTGCATACAGACGCTATCTCACTGTGTTCTACGTACCCAAGTGGAGGCGCCCTTGCGGATCCGAGATATCAGGGGGTTGGAGACCCCGGGTACAGAAGTCCGTAGACTAACTCCTGGTACGACCAGGTCAGCCCAGGATCGCTCCAGGTAACACAGGTGGACTGGATGAAACCAATCGTCTCAAAACAACTCTGAAGGAGTGTTAAAAAATCAGCTTTGTTCTGCAGGAAAAATCTATTGTTGTCCTCAGCATTGCAGGTGCAAAGATTTAAGGGTTTTGACAGCGTGTCAAACTTCTTCCTTTGAGTTGGAGATCTGCTAAGAGGTGGCCGGTCTCCGCTTGCTCTCCGAACTCTCGTTCTGTCGGATGTTCGGACTGAACCGAGGAGAAGCAGAGCAGCTCGTTTATATAGCCCGCTGTTTATCTATTACCAAAGTTATCAAGAATTCTCAGAACGCATACTCTGTGATGCAGAGTCGCTGAGTCTGCTAAACAAGGTTAGTTTCTGTGTAATGCTTCTTAATTTAGCTTTACTTCTTGTCTGGTGTGAGTGATCTAATCCAGTAAGCATAATTAGCATCATTAAACAGATTTGTGAAACATTTCATCATTTATAATTATACATGGCAATATTTAGTTATTATTAATTGTAAGATCTTCTTTTCTTCAAGGATTATTCTGAAATATAAAATGATTACTTATATTATGAAATCGTCTTTTCTTCTGGGAATAAAAGTTTACTTTAGGAGTTCTCTTGTGAGGAACCTTGGGGAAAGGAATGCTACTGTTCATCTTTATTATCTGATGAAGCTTCAGTTCAGCTGATGAAGTCATCTGATTAAAGAGCCTGTGTGCAGGCATTCCATCTCCTGTCAGGGTAAAATACAGCAGAACGTGTGTAGCCAGGGTTATTTGCTCTGGCCGTGCATATGAACTGTGGGATCTCAAAATCAGTCCATTTGGTGACGTTACAATGACTACTTACTTTTACATATATTCCTAATATTACCACGTTTCTTATGTACTTCCTAAACAAGTGATGCTTTACGGCAAATAAACAAAAGAAATGAGATAAATAATAAAGAAAGAAACACATTCATGATTAAAAATAACTTAAAAGAACAACTCTAGTGTGTTCTCTCAGGAACTCAGGAATCTTGGCGTGACCTTTGACCCAGCTCTCACCCTGGATTCTCATGTCAGTTCTCTTGTTCGCTCTTCCTTCTTCCATCTCAGGAACGTTGCTAAGCTGAGTCCCATTCTGTCCCGCTCTGAACTTGAGACAGTTCTCCACACCTTCATCTCCTCACGCTTAGACTACTGTAACTCTCTTTTCTCGTGTCTGAGCAGAACCTCCCTGAACCGTCTACAGGTGGTTCAGAACGCCTGTGCTCGGCTTCTGACCAAGTCCTCCAAACACACCCACATCACCCCGCTTCTCCTCCAGCTTCACTGGCTGCCAGTCAACTTCAGGGTTCATTTCAAGATCCTGGTTCTGGTCTATAGGGCCTTGCATGGACAAGCACCATCTTACATCAGTGATCTTCTTAGTCCCTACACCCCCAGCAGGTCCCTGAGGTCCAGTGATCAAAGCCTACTGGTTGTGCAGCACACCAGGCTAAAGACCAAAGGTGACAGATCATTTGCTGCTGTGGCCCCCAGACTCTGGAACTCTCTCCCCCTGAGTCTGAGATCAGTGGACTCAGTGATCTCCTTTAAAAAGCAGCTGAAGACTCACCTGTTCAAGCTGGCTTTTGTATGACCTTCTTCACCACTCTCTCTTTATTCTGCTCTCCCCACCTATTCCACCTTCCTCAGGATCCACTGATTTCCCTCTTTCCTATTCACTCTCTCTTTCTTAACATATTTTTTAATCACAATTGTATATTTTTGCTCATTTTAAAAATATTTTTAACCATTTTTTAAAATCTTTTTTGTATTTTTACATTTTTTGTTTTTGTGAAGCGCCTCGTGATTTTTATCTTGAGAGGCGCTATAGAAATGATATTTTCTTCTTCTTCTTCTTCTTCTTCTTCTTCTTCTTCTTCTTCTTTTTTCTTAACGCATTTTTAAAGAACCGGATCGAGACTCGATATCGGCAGATTCTTAAAATCAATATGCTCTGAATCGGATCAGAAGCAAAAAAACGTGATCGGAACATCCCTAGTCGAGATGCTCTCTGCTGTTTCCTGGACACTAAAGCAACAACAGCCTTCCCCATCGCGAGTTAAGATGAGTGAGTCCATGAATGTCAGGGTTTCATCATCTATTTTCTATCAGAAGCTAATGCAGCAGATAGGTGTAGGAGACTATTGTCATGTTCAGCCTGCATGAAAAACTCATAAATAAATGATTTTTCAGTGTTACACACTTTTAAACCAGTTTTGGAATTTCTACAAATGAAAAATCTTGTATAGAAGCTAATTTGCATTTGGTTAGGTGATGAAGTAAACAAAAATAGAAGATAAAAGCAAAGGAAGGCCAGAGCAGCCACGAGTAAAACAAACAAATGAGTTTTATCCTAACTTATGAAGACAGAAAGGTGGAGGAGGAAGAGAGGGGATGGTTCTGCAGACAAGGGAGGAAAGTTGTGTAGGAGGACCTGCATGTGGAAGAAGAGCCAACAAAGGATTCATAGAGATGGAGCTATCAAGACAAATTCAAATCAAAAGGAGTTCCAGGAAAAGAAAGGCAACAATAAAAAAAACGAAGATTTTTCTGCAGATGTTATGGAATTAAATCTGAATAGAAGTTAAAGTGGGAAGTTGTCCTTCATCTGCTCGCCTATCAATATTTCTGCTTAAGGGATGCACAAAAATTATTTTGTATACCACTTTCTTGTGCCTCAGTACAACAGTTGTCATGGTTACAGTGCTTCTCCACTACCTACAGTGGTGTCAGACTCCCTGGATGCTCTGCAGGGATCCGAGTGAAAGCCATGCACACATCTGCTTCTGTCTCCCCACACCTCCATCCGGCTGTATAAGTAAATAATAATCACAGCTATTAAAAAAAGCAAATAAAAGATCTGATGGGGTAGATGACGCAGATAATAAGGTGTGTGTTCAAGTAATTAGACAGAGAGGACTGTAGGGACAGAGAGAAAGAGAGAGAGAGTGAAAGAGGAGACTGAACTACAGAGGCATGAAAATCTTTAGACACACAAGGTCAAAATATCTGCTAACGTGGACAGTAAAGAGAATAAAATATTAACTGTCCTCTAATGGGCAAAAAATTAAAAGGAAATATTCGTGGAAGCCATATTGTTAAAGCTAGAGTGGATGTAGTGTGTTATTTGCTCACAATCTTTTCAGGAGAAGGCTGAAATTAAAGCTTTACAAATACTTTCGTTAATCCAGAACGTTGTGCTGATTATCAACAGCTTTATGAAAAGACAGAGTTTTAAGGGAGCTGTCTTTTTCTTCCCGGGGGGGGGACGACCAACAATTAACCAGTGGTGGCCATGGCCCCCCGGCAAACCCTCTTTTCCTGCTTTACGTTAGCTGTTATGCTAGTAGTTAGCTTTTTCAGTTCGCTGATCATCAATGAAAAGCACAGGAAGAAAATTAAGAAGTGTGCTGTTTTCATGGCAGAGCCTGGAGTAAAAGTAAGAGAGTAATGTCTTTGGAGGCAAAGACCTAAAGAGCTAAAACCAGAGTGAACATCAGTGCGACCTACACTAGTTAAGGGAGCTAAAGGAGGCTACAAAATCACAAACTGATAGTGACCTGGCTTTGTTGCTACTGGACTTGTAAGTAATCATATTTTTTGTTCAACAATGTGGAACTTTTTACTTTGTGGTTTATTTTGGTATTTGTTGGCTCATGTTAGTGTTAGCTCATTGTTAGCACTAGCTACAGCAAGCTGCTGCAGGGTTGTTTACGACTATTGTAATTTCACTTTCAACCAGTAGGGTGGAGGAGAGAGAAACTGCTCTGCGTTACTAAATTCTCAGACATCATATGTGAAATCCATGGCACATATCAAACGGAATCAGAATATAAATTTTATCAGCTCATACACTCACAAATTTTTTTGGTAGTAGAGGACCCATGGTCCAGAAGTAGATGGGCGTGACTTAGGCTCCCTGTTCCTGGGGCCGTGGCTCCAGAGAAAACCAATCAGTGGAACAGAGTGCTCTCTAACTGAGGTGAGGTGTGTCTTACCGCTGCTCACCACGGTGACACGTGGAGTCACGTCCAAATCCAGGGGCGTTCTGAACGGAAGGCCGGCAGCTACTGCACACAAGCAGCTCAGAGTCTGGAGCAGCAACACCATGAACCGAGCCCCCTGCATCTCCGCTGGATGCCTCTCAGGGAAAAATAAAAATAACCTCTCCTACCAGGGTGTGCGTGTACACAAAAGCATCCACGCACAAGTAATCCCCACAATCACCTGTTCAAACAGGAAAAAATGTGTGTGCTGAGACCAACAGCAGGCTGTGCAGCAGAGAGAAGGGAGGACACCTGAAAAAACAAAACACACACAGGGCACCAGTGTTAATATTCTGACTGAGGAGGTAGCATCCACAATTAAAAAAAGATGAGAAGTTGCAGCAGAGATATAAAAAAATAAATAAATAAAACTGATGTGGAGGATTTCACACAAAAACAACAGAATCCTTTTAAAAGTCCATCTGATTGATAAAATGTATCACTTCACAGGACATTAGAGAGCGAGCAGCAGCTGTTACACTTAACCCTCTGGAGGCAGGCGTTGCAGATTAGCAACGTTAAAACCTACCTACCTGGTTACTCCACATACGTATTTTATAACTCACAAGTACCCCTGAAGGACTTGGTTGTTCGTCCTTTTATCAAAACTTATTTTGAGCCTGAGAGGGTTAAACACAAGTCTGAAAATATTAACAAAAGGACCGTTAAAGAGGAACGTAACGATTTCACAGGAAAAAAAATTTAAACTTGAGGATTAAAAAGCAGCTTGGAGCACTTCAGATCAATATGTTGGTTCAAATGGAGCATATAGCTGAGAGAAGTCCAACCCACAGGTGTGTGTGTGTGTGTGTGTGTGTGTGTGTGTGTGTGTGTGTGTGTGTGTGTGTGTGTGTGTGTGTGTGTGTGTGTGTGTGTGTGTGTGTGTGTGTGTGTGTGTGTGTGTGTGTGTGTGTGTGTGTGTGTGTGTGTGTGTGTGTGTGTCCCCTTCACCAGCGCTGATAACACACTGACACACACTATGTGAAGAATAACCACCCAAGCACAATTTTAAATAACATCTCTCTTTCTCCATCTGTCTCACACACACAGAGACACACACATTTGCATTCCCAGCCCTCAAATGTAAAAAGTCACACCCTTTGGCTCTTTCATCAACACAAAACAAGCCCCCAACAGCCTTACAAGCTGAACGTCCACGCGCAAAAAAGACCTGTTTTCCCCTCAGCTCCTGCCCAGGGATGCAACAAAAATCAAGCTGAAAGGGGGAAGTCATTAGCACTGGAGGCAGTAGCTGTGCTCTCACAGAAAGCCTCAGTGGTCCCTCAAGGTTGACACCATGACAACAGCTGGCTTTAGCATTGCATAATGTGACAGACAAACACGACAGCATGCAGGTAAGGACAAGAGAAATGCTGACGTTAATGGGGATATCACAGTTTTGGCTTATTTTCTAGCATTTGCAATGTCATACTCAGAATATATGGGCTATGAAGTACTTTATGGACCAGAAAAGCACAAAAATATACTAATTTTCTGGCCAATTAAAATAAATTTGATATTTAATCTGGAAAATTATTAAGTAACTGCTTGATTTTTGTCTTTTTTATGTAAAGGTGAATATTTAAACAGAAATAGTTCAAATAGATGTCACTGCACTGCACAAATCCATTTAGATAAAAGACTATATTTTTTATCCACCTGATTTTAGGTTTTTGTGAGCAGATGAGTGTAGCTGTGGCTGCGTGGTTGTATCAGAAAACACCATCAGACCACAGCTTGATGTATGACCAGCCCTGGTTCACATCTGACATCAATAGCAGGGAGAAAAATGAAAGTTTATGCAAGCTTTTGGAGAGAAAAAATATACTGGAAGAAAGGAAGAATGCTGCTGATTTTAATTTTGATTTCATGTTTTAATTGGAAAAAATATGAGAAAGATTGTATGCAGCTGCGTGCTATATGGTATTACAAGGAAATATGTTTGCGAAGCTTATTCCGTTTCATATTTCTTTTTAAAAATTGAAGGTTTTTTTCAGGATATAAGTCAAGAGGCTTTGTAACAGGATTATTTAAATTTACACAAAACTTATCTAGCATTTTCTGCCAAATGTTTAATAAATCGGTTTAATACAGCGGTCCTGTCGGCTAGCTGCTTGTAGCTTGTAGAGTAACTTGTCTGTCTGTGATCACCCAGTGCTCCGAGTCCGCGTTTGGGTTTGCCGACATGCTACAGCATTTCCTTGTGGTCACCTGATTCCTCCTCACTGGCTCTTGGTCATATTATTTACCAGGAACTCTGTTAGTCAATAGTAAAGTGGCTAGCTGACATGCTAGCGCCGGAGTGCGCTTCCAGCATGTTTCCTTCATGTTTTAGTCGACGGTTTTAGTTCGTGAACACAGCTGATTTGTTTGATTTAGTGATGAACTGCTCCTGTAAAAACTAATGAAGGCTGAAGAGACATTTCAGCAGTTAAAATAAAGTGTTAAAAACACGAACGCACAGCAAGGAGGAGGATACAGTTTCGTGTTCATGACAGTGAATTAAAACGGACACTAGGGGGTGCTAAAGGCAAGCCAAAAACTACATAGTGTTCCTTTAAAGCTAGCAAATCTGCAAACAAGCTAGGTTTTGAATGCAAACATGGTGACAAAACTCTCATCCATCTCCTTGAGTATCTTCTCTGGATCAGCATCTACCGGAACCAGAAACCCACATTGCCTGAGGATACAAGAGAGTGCTAAACACCAGTTTGCTGTCTTAGGTCTAAACGTGTTTTGTTGTCTATGACTTCAAATGGTGTGTTTCTTTTTAGGACTCTGGTAGTTTGCCCTAAAGTTGAAGTGGTTAGCGGCCGGCTGTTTCTCCTTCTCTGATATTACTGAGCAGAGAACCTCTTACACCAGTGGTGTTCTGTTGCTAAATACGCAAGTGCATAATGAATGGAGCACCCAGGGAAGTGCAGCTGTTCGGAAGACCAACAACCGGATGGTCCAATAGTTGTTTTTAGATAAAGGCGAGAGAACTACTCCATTTTTTTTAAATCTCCACAATATATTTATACGTATACTACACTGTATGTACTTAATGTTGTTAAGAGGCATGAAAAAATAATTTAAGCCATTTTTTTCCAAATTTGCTATAACAGCTTCAAGCTAACTTATCACAATAAAATCTAAATTTACGGTAGTAATGTTTATGATCTGCCCTGAGCAGGGGGGCAACAGGGGGCCCAAGCTTGCTGTCCGAGTGGCATTGACCCACTCTCAACCCTCCTTAGCACCACCCCTGATTTGATCCATTTGGAAACCAAAACAAGCAGATAAAAAATCTTAACACAATAAAAAAGATGAATATTTTCATAAAAAGATTTTTTTCCCAGCAGCTGACTCTTAAATCTTTGATATCAGATTTTATTAAATTCACACAAAAATGGATGATTATAAAACACAGTTCCTGATGGCAAATGTATCACTCTGACTAAATAAATAAATATCACAGTGAAGCATTAAATCTTAATAGCAGACTGCTTTGTGCAAAGGGATATTTGTTGTTCGAGTTAAATCAAATTTCACTTCCAGTTTTCTTATTATTTTTTGGACCTGAGGCTTTATCTACTTTCAGAATTTGGCAAATATTGCATCATTAGATGCTCTTTTCTTGGCAACAAAGCAGCAATAAAACAGAACAAAAGATTAAAGAGTTGAAAAATCAGGCAGATGTAATAATATTCACATTCTTATTAGTCTATTTTTTATTTATTTAATACAAACACCTTTGGCTCCTTCTGGATCCACAGAATTTAATTAGCCACTGAGCATTTTATCTAAAATTTTGGGAAAATATAGAGTCAGACGCTGGAAATGAAATGGGGCTGGCTCATGGGAAATCCCCAGCGCTCAAAACCTGACCTTTCTAATCTGTCTTCCTCCCGATCTCGCTGCCAGCTCTCTGTCCCGCGATGTTCATTAACTGAAATGGATTTCATCACACAATTATAAAGTGAACCTGGCTGAATGGAAGAGGCTGGAGCAAAGCGCTGACAGCTCCATTAACAGACAAAACTTATTCTAAAGGACGTAGAAACTCGTTCCTGAGTCGTGTGACTGGGTCTGAGTGACAAATGGAAGAAAAGGTTACAGTGAAACCGATTCAGCTGCCTTTCAACTAAAAGCTTGCTTTCTTTTCTGTTTTTTATTTGGACTGAACTTTATTTGTTCACATGGAATACTGCTCTCTTTAAATCCTGATAGTAGAGTTATTCTGACAGATACAAAGCCGTGTATGGTCACTGTCTGCCTGTCGCTTGTAAATGTGGAGCTTATTCTTGTTTAAAATGCCAGAATGTTCCCAATTCAGGAATGACGGCAAATCCTGTAAACAATCAATGGTCTAAATTAGTTTTATTTTCTGTCACTCTACAGAGATGACAAGCATAACAAAACCTGCCATTGGAGAGCTTCAACGCTTGTCTTTCAATTGCTTGACTTGGTGACATTGAAATATTATCCTGTCTTTCCTGAAGAACTTCAGCTGCTCAAAAGTTTCCAATCACTTGGGAATGTTTTTGTTTTCCAGAAAAATGCAAAAAATGAGCAAAGGGCAGCAAAGAAACACGGCATACATGTTGTCAAAGTTACTGAAAGTTATAAATTTTTAAGTTTGCTTTAAATCAAAATAAATTGTTTTCACTAGTTCCAGGTTTCACCCCAATCTTCCTTGAGCATCTCCAAAGACTGTACTGGCTGATCCCTTACAGCTGAAATCTTACTTTCTGGATGCGTGTTGTTGGATCAATATGTCTTTTTACAAGCACAGCAATACATTTCCTAGAAAAAATCTCTCTACCTGATTATTTTAAATCTGTAGATAAACAACTCCTGCTTTAGTGTCAACCTTGATCCCCTTTTTGTTCTTTACCTACTTTCATCTGGATCGATTTTTCGACAGAATAACATTAAATTTCATTTCTATGCAGATGACTATCAGGTTTATTTTCACCTGCAATCACTCAATTCAATCACTTCTTGATTGTTTAATGCGTGTCAAGTCCTGGATGGCGTCAAGTTTTTTAACCCTCTCAGGTTCAAAACAAGTTTTGATAAAAGGACGCACAACTAAGTCCTTCAGGGGTACTTCTGAGTTAAAAAATGCTCATGAAATATGTATGTGGAGTAACCAGGTAGGTAGGTTTTAACATTGCAAATCTGCGACGCCTGCCTCCAGAGGGTTTAACTTTAGTGAGAAGAAGACTGAGATGATTGTATTCGGACCTTAATGAAGGTACGTGGAAGTGTGGTACTGAACTTTTGTCTCTGGTTCTGTACGAGAAGGACGTGGTCACTGATCTCGATGTAAAATTAGTTGAGTTACTCTCAAAATGAACTTACAGATAAATTCTGTTGTGAGGTCATGTTTCTTTCACATGGCAGGTTTTGGAGTCTGATTTCCTGATATTTGGACATCTCGCCCTGCATTGGTTAACTGCAACGCGACTCTACCACTAACTTGCAACATGGATGTTTTATCACCACAAATAACACAAGCCCGGAGCAGCTTCTGCCATGAGGTGATGTTGCTAATGCTAATTAGCTTAAAATAGCTGAGACGGCCACTGCTGATTCATGGACATTAAAACAACAACAGTTTTCTCCATCGTAAGTCAAGATGGATGAGTCCATGAATTCAGTGTGGCGTAGTTCTGTGAAGATTTTAAAATCCATGAGTTTCATCTTCTGTTTTCTATCCAAATCTAATGCACGAGATAGATGTAGGAGACTATTTTCATGTTCAGCCTGAATTAAAAACTCAGAGGGACTGATTAAAATCAGAAATAACATTTTATAAGTCAACCACACCTTTAAAACTTGGTTAGAGACACTTTTATTAGCTAGCCTTTAAACAAAGTGATTGAGTGTGTTTATGCCTTTTGTTTTTTTACTTTTTTATAAACTATTTATTTTATTTTAAGATGATTTATTAATTTTTGTGATTTTAACGTGATTTTTTCTGTCTGTTGTGTTCAACCCTTAGGCCTTACCTTTAATGGTTGTGGAAACCACTTTACAAAAATTGATTGATTGATTGATTGATTGATTGATTGATTGATTGATTGATTGATTGATTGATTGATTGATCGATCGATCGATCGATCGATCGATCGATCGATCGATCGGCTGGCTGGCTGACTGACTGACTGACTGACTGACTGGTTGGTTGGTTGGTTATTACGAGTTGTGTGAAAATGACATTTCCAAATAATCCCAAACTCTTATAAATCAATAACATAGATGTTTTAATGACTTGATCCCGTTTAGCAAATGAATTATTCTTATTATCAGACACATCGTAATGTTAACGTAATCTATTGCTAAAAAAAAAGCTTAAAAAAAAAGCAACATCATCCCTTCAGTACATGATGCTCAAAGGCAGTAGTTCCCAATTCTTTCCTTGAGGACCCCTTTGACTGTGTCCAAGACAAGCCAGGACCCCCAGCCCCAACTCCTGCCTGCATACATACATTAAAAAATGATTAATTACAACACTGACACTGGCATTTATATTTTTATCATTTGTATTGCACAATTTTTAATTTGCTTGTATTTGTCTATTTTTGTTTTTACTGATCTTTATTCAATGCGCCGTTTTTATTATTGCTCTGGTTTTTATGTCCTGTTCAGCACCGTGGGCCTCCGGTAAGATGGTAGAAGAAGCTTTATAAATGAATAAATTAAAATTAAATAAATAAAAAAAGGAAACTTTAAACAGACACAGAGTTATAACTCTTGCACTCTGTTTTGACTATACTATGGGTTTGTTGGGATTTTATGGGTGTAATTTTACAAATATAATCTTGGTAACAGTCTCAGCACAGACAAAATTGTGGGGACCCCTTGTAATTTCTAGTGGTCCCCTTGGGGGGTATCGGACCCCAGTTGGGAACCACTGCTCTACTGCTGTTTATATTAATTAATGTCTGCATAAATAGGAAGGTTTAGAGCACTAATGTGCCACATTAACACAATTTTTCTTCTATAATTGTTGTCATTCAGTTTTTCAGATTTGTGTTAAAAACAGCTAAAAACAGACTAGAACATGTTCATTTTTTTGTCATAACATCTATTTAGTTTCTATTTCTTTTCTTCTTCTTTTTTTATTATTTTATTTTATTTTATTTTATTTTTTTTAGTTTTCCAGAAATATTTCTCCGAAATGCTCTCTTGGACTTTCTATAATAGACCTTTGGTGAATATTGACTTGTGCAGATAAACTTCTACAGTCATCAGTGACTAACATCTGGATGAAGAACAGTGAAGGAAACAGAAAAGGGATCACGGAAAACCAATCACTCAGGTTACGGAATCTACATTGACAGGAAGAAGAGCGAGTTTATTGGCTGTCCATGTGGCCTCATGTGGGTTTAATGATTATGGCAGTTTCAACACTGATCAGGAGATAACTGGTGGCTACCATCTTTAAAGATCAATAAACTCCTCCAGGAACTTGTTTATTGACAGAGCTGATCAGTTCCCATCTCTATAAATAATAATAAATCCATTTTATTAACAATAAAGGATATTCAGTGTGAAAGCTTGTGTTTTATACCGCAGTCATGCAGTCATGAACACTTGTCTGAATTTCTCAGGTAAACAGTTTCATAATGACACCTCAACGCCTCACCTTTTTTATGAGGAAATACCATGTTTTTTACCTGAATTGATAATTTACTCGTATTTCCTAAATTACTGAATAATTATTAGAAAAATGTGATAAAGTACTAAAATAAAGCAGAACAACACGATGCGATCACTGTATGTGTATTAAAATGTAATGTAGAACGTATTTTACCTGGATTTGAGTTCACAGTCGAAGAGGAGGCATATTTCCACGTTTCGCTGAGCGTAATAATCCAAGTGGACTTTAGACGCTCTCTCTCAAACACCGACTGACGGACGCAGCAGCTCCGCGGCTCATTTGCCGTCAGGTGGCCCGCCCTCCACGAGACACACTTGTATTTTTTTTTACATCTACCTCTTCAAGCTTTCTTTTTTCGCTTCTATTGTAACAGTTCAACGCCCTAGTTTACCCACGAAACGCTTGCAAAGAGAGTTGCTGCTTTATTAAGAAACAAAAATGATTTTTTTTCTTTTAATTTAATCTATGTTTGACTTTTCTGCCAGATGGCGCTACAGTGACATCTAGTGGCAAGAGTCGAACTTACACACCATTTGGCCACTATAAAAAAACTGTAAACGATTTAAAACTATTTCTGAATATTTTCATGTGAAACCAATCTATATGAGTTTTTTTAATAATATCCATGTTGTGTCTAGAGGTAAACAGTGGCGCATCTATACAGTTTTGGGGGGCTTCGGGAAATTTCTGACGGAGAAAGGCGACAGGGAAAATATGATGGCTCTATCCTCTCAGCAGCTGTGTCACCATACAAAAGAACTTTGATAAAACTTCAGCATATTGCGACTTTTTCTGAACACTGATCAGTACCATAACACATTTTGTAAAAATTGGTACAATCAAAACTCTGTATAAGAGGCCTAGCTCTTTGACTGTGTAAAGTTTGTAATTATTCACTTTAAATGTTTGCATGCAGGTAGGAGTTGGGGTTGGGAGGCCCTGGATTGTTTGGGACACATGAAATGGGGTGCTTGTGAAAAAAGGTTGGGAACCATGGGAGATCGTTTTGGGCTGTTGCTGTAAAAAAAAGTGAGGCGCTTATCCGGGTCCAGGTCGTGGGGGCAGCATCCCAACTAGGGAGCTCCAGACCGTCCTCTCCCTGGCCACCTCCACCAGCTCCCCCGGCAGGACCCCAAGGTGTTCCCGGACCAGACTGGAGATGTAACCTCTTCAATGTATCCTGGGTCGACCTGGGGGCCTCGTGCCGGCAGGACATGCCCGAAACACCTACAAGGGAGGCGTCCAGGAGGCATCCTGACCAGATGCCCAAACCACCTCAACTGACTGCTTTCGATCCGGAGGAGCAGCGGTTCTACTCCGAGTCCCTCCCGAATGTCCGAGCTCCTCACCCTATCTCTAAGGCTGAGCCCGGCCACCCTACGGAGGAAACTCATTTCGGCGCTTGTATCCACAATCTCGTTCTTTCGGTCATTACCCAAAGCTCATGACCATAAGTAAGGATTGATAGGTCGACCGGTAAATCGAGAGCCTGGCTTTCTGGCTCAGCTCCCTTTTCACCACTACAGATCGCTCAGCGTCCGCATCACTGCAGATGCTGAACCAATCCGCCTGTTGATCTCCCGATCCCTCCTACCCTCACTCGTGAACAAGACCCCGAGATACTTAAACTCCTCCACTTGAGGTAGGACTTTTTCCCCGACCTGGAGTTGGCAAGCCACCCTTTTCCGGTCGAGAACCATGGTCTCATATTTGGAGGTGCTCATCCTCATCCCAGCTGTTTCACACTCGGCCGCGAACCTACCCTGAAGAGCTGAAGGTCAGAGCTGGATGAAGCTAGGAGGACCACATCATCTGCAAAAAGCAGAGACGAGATTCTCCTGCCACCAAACTCGACACACTCCACACCACGGCTGCGTCTAGAAATTCTGTCCATAAAGGTAATGAACAGAACCGGTGACAAAGGGCAGCCCTGGCGGAATCCAACCCTCACTGGGAACAGGTCCGACTTACTACCAAATTCACACTCTTCTGGTAAAGGGACTGAATGGCCCTTAACAGAAAGCCACCCACCCCATACACCTGGAGCGTCCCCCACAGGGTGCCCCTGGGGACACGGTCATAAGCCTTCTCCAAATCTACAAAACACATGTGGATTGGTTGGGCAAACTCCCATGCCCCCTCCATCACCCTTGCAAGGGTATAGAGCTGGTCCACAGTTCCACGGCCAGGACGAAAACCACATTGCTCCTCCTCAATCTGAGATTCAACTATCGATCGGACCCTCCTCTCCAGTACCTTGGAGTAGACCTTTCCAGGGAGGCTGAGGAGTGTGATCCCCCTATAGTTGGAACACACCCTCAGGTCACCCTTCTTAAAGATGGGGACCACCACCCCGGTCTGCCACTCCCTAGGAACTGCCCCCGATGACCACGCAATGTTGCAGAGACGTGTCAACCACAACAGCCCTACAACATCCATAGCCTTGAGATACCCAGGACGAACCTCATCCGCCCCCGGGGCTCTGCCGTTGTGTAGTTGTTTGACTACCTCAGCAACGTCTGCCTCCGAGATTGGACAGTCCATCCCCAGGTCTCCCGGCTCTAGTTCCTCCTCGGAATGTGCGTAGGTGGGATTGAGGAGCTCCTCAAAGTATTCCTTCCACCGCCCGACTATAGCCCCAGTTGACGTCAGCAGCTCCCCATCCCCACTGCAAACAGTGTGAGCGAGTTGCTGCCTTCCTCTCCTGAGGTGCCGGACAGTTTGCCAGAACCTCTTTGGAGCCGATCGATAGACTTTCTCCATGGCCTCACCAAACTCCTCCCACGCCCGAGATTTTGCCTCGGCAACTGCCACTGCTGCACCCCGCTTGGCTATCTGGTACCTGTCTGCTGCCTCCGGAGACCCACAGACCAGCCACGCCCTGTAGGCCTCATTCTTCAGCCTGACAGCTCCCCGAACCTCTGGTGTCCACCAGCGGGTACGGGGGTTGCCACCACGACTGGCACCGGCCACCTTGCGACCACAGCTAGCAACAGCCGCCTCGACAATCGCAGAGTGGAACAAGGCCCACTCGGAGTCAATGTCCCCCACTGCTCTCGGGACGCAGTCAAAGCTCTGCCGGAGGTGGGAGTTGAAGACCGTCTTGACAGGTTCTTCTGCCAGGCGTTCCCAGCAGACCCTCACTATGCGTTTGGGTCTGCCAGGTCTACGCGGCATCTTCCCCTGCCATCTGATCCAACTCACCACCAGGTGGTGATTAGTTGACTGCTCCGTTCCTCTCTTCACTCGGGTGTCCAAAACATACGGCCGCAGGTCAGATGATACGACTACAAAGTCTATCATTGACCTGTGACCTAGGCTGCCCTGGTACCAAGTGTACCGATGGGCATCCTTGTGTTAGAACATGGTGTTCGTTATGGCCAGACTGCGGCTTGCACAGAAGTCCAATAACGAAACACCACTCGAGTTCAGATCAGGTGGGCCGTTCCTCCCAATCACACCCCTCCAGGTCAAGCTGTCATTGCCCATGTGAGCATTGACGTCCCCCAGCAGGACAATGGAGTCCCCTGATGGAGCACTATCTAGCATTTGTCCCAGGGACTCCAAAAAGGGTGGGTACTCTGAACTGATATTTGGCCCATAAGCACAAACAACAGTCAGGACCCGTTCCCCGACCCGAAGGCGCAGGGAAGCTACCCTCTTGTCCCCCGGGGTAAACCCCAACACACAGGCAGAGAGTCTTGGGCCTAACAAAAAGCCAACCCCAGCCCTCCGCCTCTCACCCGGAGCAACTCCAGTAAAGGAGAGTGTCCAACCCCTCTCAAGGACTTGGGTTCCAGAGCCAAAGCTATGTGTCGAGGTGAGTCCGACTATATCTAGCCGGTACCGCTCAACCTCTGCCACAAGCTCCTGCTCCTTCCCCGCCAGCGAGGTGACGTTCCATGTCCCAAAAACCAGTTTCCTTGTCTGGGGATCGGACCGCCAAGGCTCCCACCTTGGTCTGCCACCCGATCCATATAATAATATTTCTTTATGAAAACATTTTTAAGTAGACTACCCAAGACCCTTGCTGGGGTTGGATCATTGGGGCTGCAGCAAGTTCATAAGGATGGGAAACTTTCTTACTTTTGCCACTGTGAGACAAAATATAGCTGATTTCCAAACGCACTACCTACATACACTACACAGATATTATTATCTTAATAATATGCATACATTTGTATATTAATATATAATGTTTGATTGAATGCAAATCTAATATATTTTGTTCCCTTTCATGAATTACAACTTCACAAAGTTAACAGATTTAAATCCATGAGCACAGAACAACAAGAACCAGGGCAATTTTAAATATGAAATAGTCCAAGAGGGTGACCATTTATTTTGTTTTACATAATTTTGGAACTTATGTTAATACCCAGCAGGCTAAAGGAACAGGACTGAATTAAAAAAGTGCATGCTCAATAGATAAATCAAAGGCATTGCTGGCTGTTTTAGAACGTTTCTCTTTACTACAACATTGTTTTACCTGCTTTTGAATGAATCACTGATATTAAAACCTTCCAAATAGGAATCCACCTGCTTACTCAGAATACAAAATAAAAAATATCACTTTCTGCATTTCCAGATATAGTTTAACAGTAAAAGAAAGATGTGCAACTCTGTCTTTTTTTTTCATTGCACAAAGCATCAGTAAACAAATCAGATCTTTGCGAGTGTGTTTGCCTGCAGGTCTGCGTGGTGCTCATAAAACTCAGAAGGGTTCTTCTGCTGTGCAGCAGAATTCAACAAAAGCTCTAATTATAAAAGAATGCAGCAGCCGTGTAGTACATATGGCTGTTTCTTTTACACAAACACAACTTTTGATCCATTATGAATGTGCACATTAATTATGAATGGCCTCGCTGGTGTTCAGTGGGCAGTGTGGAGGCTTTTATTTCAACTCCTTATTCAAATTCAGCAGGGAGATTTGTGCAGCATTGGGATTATGTCTCAAACATCCAGCTCTATTAACCCAACAGGGCTCTCCCACTGAGTGGGCTCACTGAAGCTCGCCCAGGAGGAAGGACCCATTGCCGTTGCTGGTTACCAAGGCAACAGTTTCACTCAGAAGCAATGCAGAGGGATTTGTGCGCTGTACATATGAGATGCTGAGCTTACTAATGTTTTATGTCAAAAAGTCTTGGATTTAGCCTTGGTGACAGAAGTCAGCAATGTTCACTCACAAGGTCTGTTTGGGATTTCATGTCCTATCTGTGCCATGGATTTATATGGTAAACGAGTGGAAAACTCTCCATTTTATTCTGGTTTAAAATGAACTACTACACGATAACAGATGAGTCAGAAGAGCCACAATGGTCAGAACTACAATTATATTAATTAGGGCATATATTCATGATGCCAAGAGATGGAGAACACTATGGGAACATCTGTCACTTTGGTTGTGCTGCCGGACTACAATGATCATCTTACCCACACCCCCGTAAAACTTATTTTCTTCAAATTTAGCAAAACTGTTGTCCTGTGGCCAGTTTTTTTTATTTGTTATTTTTCTATTTTAAACTTTTTGTGTGATAGTGTTCCATTCTGTCTGTGATGTCACGGATGCTTGTGGTAAAAAAAACAACAACAAAAAACAGTTCTTCCAGCAGGGGGCAGCACGTGTCAAATTTTCCTTTAGGCCACATAAAACTGCATTAGCGCGCACAGGGTATACAAAAATCAAAGGACATAAAAACTTAAAATGATTAAACTAGGAAAGTGTAACTGAAACAAATAAATGTTTAACTGCAACTAAAAATAAAACAAATAGATGATAAAATAAATTCACTTATTTATTTCCAAATATATTTTTTTCTTTCCCCATACTTTTATTTTAATTCCAGATTTACATTCTCATTTTGTCTATATGGTCAGGATGAGTCCTTCGTAGGATCAAATCAAATCAAATCAACTTTATTTATAGAGCGCTTTCACACGGCCAAAATGGACAAACAAAGCGCTGTACACCAATAAGAAGCACCACAATAGGACAGAGATATGACCATTAAAATACAATAAGAAATCGATTAAAAATACAATAAGAAATCCGTTTATAATACAATAAGAAATCCATTTAAAATACAATACGAAAACCTGAGTGCAAGTTCACAGTCCAATATCCGGCCTACTTCCCCCAACTTCAAAGTCCAAACGCCAGCGAGAACAGATGTGTCTTTAGTCTTCCTTTAAAGGTTTCTAATGACTTGGCCTGTTTTACATCAGTTGGCAGCTCATTCCAGAGACTTGGTCCAAGTACTGAAAAGGCACGACTCCCACGAGACTTAAGGCTGTACCTAGGCACAGTTAGTAATCTCTGGTCAGCTGACATAAGGGAACGCACCAGGACATGTTGGTGGATGATTTCAGAAAGATATTTAGGAGCCCGTGAGTTTAACGCCTTAAACACAAACAGGATGACCTTAAACCTGATGCGATAAGAAACAGGGAGCCAATGCAAGGCATGTAGGACTGGTGTAATATGTTCAGACCTCCTGGTAGATGTTAACAACCGAGCTGCAGAGTTCTGAAACACCTGGAGGCGTGCTAGTGGAGCTTGCCTAAGCCCCGCATAGCGAATTACAATAATCCAGCCTGCAGGTAACAAAGGCATGGATTACAGTTTCCAAATGACTATGGGACAGAAAAGGCTTAATTTTCGCTATGCGGCGTAGATGAAAAAAGCAAGATCTCACAATACCGTTCACTTGAGGGTCAAATCTGAGCTCTGCGTCCAGTTTTACCCCTAAGTTAGTGACCACCGCCTTCTGATGTGGTGCCAGAGTGGAAAAATCAAGCCCTTTGCCACCTCCTGGGGTCTTATGTGGCGTAAACAGAATAACTTCTGTCTTGTGTTCGTTAAAACACAAGAAGTTCTGAGCCAACCATAGCTTGATGTCCTCCAGGCAGTCCAACAGAGGTTGAATGGTGCATAAACCACCACGCTTAATTGGAAAAATGACCTGGCAATCATCAGCATATAGATGGAACGACACGACATGTTTACAGAATAGTTCACCCAGGGGTGGTAAGGAGAAAAATAGTGGGACCAAAATCGACCCCTGGGGAACTCCCCAAGGCAGCTCAGCCAGATCGGAGGAACAGTCCCCCAAACTCACACAAAAACTCCTCCCAGTCATGTAAGATCGTATCCACTGAAGTGCCTGGCCCGTAATGCCCACACACCGCTCCAGCCGGTTTATTAGGATGTTATGATCAACGGTATCAAATGCTGATGACAAGTCCAAGAGCACCAGAACCACAGCATCACTGGAATCATTTGCCAATAAAATGTCATCAAGGACCTTAAGCAGTGCAGATTCAGTGCTATGAAAGGGTTTAAACCCAGATTGAAATACTTCTCCAATTTTCCATTCCTGTAGAAAAGATGCCAGTTGGTTAAACACAGCCCTCTCTGATCTTTGAGATGAAAGGGAGTGTAGATACAGGTCTGTAATTGGACAAGATTGTTGGGTCCAGCCCTGATTTCTTAAGCAGAGGTCGTACCACCGCCTGCTTTAGGGGAGTAGGGACTTCCCCAGATATCAAGCTGCTATTTACAATTTGCAGTACGTGATCACCCACTACTGAAAAAACTTCTGTCAGTAGCCTTGCCGGGAGAACATCAGTTACTGCCCCTGTTGGCTAAAGTCTCATGACCAGATCCTCAAGCTCTGCAAGTCAACCCAAAATATTGTTTTAAAAATGTAAATTTATCACGACACTAAAATAGAAACCAACTTAAAAAAACAAGAGATGAGTTCAGTACAAAGTGTTTTATTGTAAATGTTTAAAATACACGTGTGTTTATAATTCAGACAAAAGAGCTAAAGTAAGAAAATAAATACATCTGCAATGACAGATTTGTGATGAGTTTGTTTTGTGGATCTCCTTTTCTTCTATAAGCGAGTGATTTAAACATTCTAACCTGAAACCTCTTAAGGAATCGGAGGAAATAAAGGCTTTAAGCTTTAGTTTTGACTCCTCACATCACTACACTGGGAAAACACAATCTGCAAAGCATCTAATTTTTAGCGTTTCTTCACAAGTTTAAGAATCAGTTGTTGTGACATAGTTCCTACATCTAGACTTTACAGTGACAGGAATACAGATACAGGCAGCATCCGTCTCAACCACAGATCAATGCCGGGAAGCCGACGGCCTTCCTGGGCATCACTGACCACAGATTAAACTGCGCTGTAATAATCATATGCTTTTTTTTTCTTCTTCTTCTTGGTCATTTCAATATAAATGTTTCACTAGAAACGTGCTGGATCCAAATGAAATAGCAAATCTATTTATTCAGATGACAAACAAGCTGCTGCAGATCGTCATGGTAACAGAGCCTTTTAAAACCCGTCCCCACCGTCGTCTGCTCGTTCTTATGAATCGTAGAACCCCCAGTGTGTTAGAAAGTAACCAGCTGTTTTAAAAGACTATTGGAAAGTGTAGAAAAATGGCTTTCCATGGACAAAAATACTGCTGCTTCCGTTTTCATCCCAGCATTTCTTTTCAGATGAGAATTACAAAACCAAAATAAAGACCTAGGCTCAGTTTTTCAAACACACAGTGGATTCTAGAAAAATAATTGAGGGAGAATTCCTCCGTCACACATTTTAAAAAGTGCCAGAAATGATTGATCCTTCATATTGCTTGATTCGTCTGTGTCGGCTGTGTCCTCTCCGTCCCCAGCCTTCTGAAGCTCGCGTGTCTAGCAGAGCTCTGCCGGCCCGGACACGTGAACAAGTGTTTTTGTTCTAAGCCAGGGTTCTTTGTCTTGGTTTGATTCTGGGGTAGAGCTGTTAAAGAGACAGAAACAAATGTCAGAAGGCCAAAAGTTATTAACAGTAACTCTGTTTATGTTGCTCAACACTCACCCCGAGGAGGTTGCGGGGAATGTAACCCTCGCTGTCACCCAGGCGCGCCCACCACCACTCGATCTCGTCTTCATCTTCTCTACGAACGATGGCCATGCAGTCTCCCTCGTGGAATGAGAGTTCATCTGGGTTTTCGCTGGTATAATCCCACAAAGCGTAGACCACGCCCCTGTTCATTATACCCATCTTCTCTTGAACACCTGAGGAGAAATATGGATGCAAAAGAAAATAATGTTTTAACCTCTGTGACTGATCAGATGTAATATTAGAAATGAGTTTTCACTGACCATAAAGGAACTGGGAGCACTGGGTATAACCATCTTCCATCTCTTCACATTTATCAGCTGCTGTCTGCATGTCGCTGTAAGTCATGGCAAAGACTGCTGCGCCCGACTCCACAAGGAACTTGCACACTTGCACGTTGTTGCAGGAGGCTGCACAGTGCAGAGGTGTCCTACACGAGGGGACAAAAAAACACAAAACAAAACTCAAAATGTAGCCCCATTTGCGTCGGTCGTAGTGTTTTAGATTTTGGCTCTAAATACGAACAAGAACAGTTCCACGTGAACTCACCAGCCGTCGCTGTCAGCTGCGTTGACGTTGACACCAAACTGGACCAGAAACTTGACTATCTCCGTGTGTCCAGCACAGACGGCGTTGTGCAGAGCGGTGATGCCTTCGTCGTTCGGCTGACTGGGATCCTCCACCTGTGTTTGAAGAAGAATAAAACCAAGTCGCAAAATCCCCACGTCTTACTAAGCAAACCAACTTTTCACGTGCAGAACAACCACGCTACCTCATATATGATTCTCTGAACCAGGTCGAACTCCCCCTCCAGAGACGAGTCCAGCAGCAGCGCCAGCGGGTTGAACTTCACCCTCATGCTGTGATCGATGCGTTCAGAGCCAGCTTTGCGCAAATTAGTCCTTTTTCCCTGAAGGAACAATGCGAATTTCCCATTAATCAAACAGTCCTAAAATCCATTTTAAGATCACAGATGAGAAACGCAACCGTCAGACGTGAGAAAACGTCTCCTCGCCGAGGACGGAGCCCTCCTCTGTGCTCAGTCTGATCTTGAAGCAGAAAAGTAACCGTTTCTCAGCTCTGGGGTCTTCTGCTAATCCCGTTTATGAGTGCAAGCTGAGAAAGAAGTTTTTCATGACTCTGAAATATCATTATGCAACCTGATCAGGAACAATCACAGGCTGCAGGGAAAAGAAAGTCTTTAATTTCTACGTAGGTCTTACATGGAGGTGAGAAAAGAAGGGAAAATAGGTCATAATACTGATTTCTCATTGGTTTGTTTGTTTTTAAACTGCTTATGAAGTTTTACTTGGAGATTAGCGTGGAGAAAATGTAAACTGGCATTTATTTTCAGCTCAGTTTGTGTCCTTTTAGAGTGAGAAGAATAGAAGCCATTTTCTAAAGGAACAAGAGGTTTTTAAGGATTATTTGCTTATATAACACCAGACTGGGTTACTGCAGTTGTCCAGAAGGTAATTAAAGTACAGCGTGCACAAACCCACTCATGACCTGCTCTGGTGGAACTAAAAACATGTGAGGGGGTTTAAAAACACACACCGATCAGACAGACTGTAGCCATGAGGCTTTTTTTCTTTAAAGGAAAATTATGTAAATAAATCTTGGGCGAGCAGTTTAAGGTGGCGATTCGTACCGGAGGAAGTGTGACTTGTCCAGTGACCTCAGGGGCCTTCATGTTAAAGGTGTCCTCTCCAAAGCTGTCCTGCTCTGCTCCACTGGGGTATGGAGGTGGAGGGTAGGGCGGAAACTCCTCCAAGAAGCCTTCTGGAGGTGGAGGAGGCAGATTGGGCATCGTGTCCTCCAAGCCATCAGGGGGCGGTGGAGGGAAAAGAACATCTTCAGGCCTGGGAGCAGGATGGGATGGTGGAGGAGGGGGGACAATAACCTCGATCTCTGGCAAGGCTGAAGGTAGGTTGGTTTTTTCAGTCATAGTTGTGATTCCGGGATTTGGGATGTGGGATGGGAGTTGTCCCCCCTCTACCGTCTGTTCTGTCTCTGACTGGGATTTTTCTGCACCGTTTAGCGGGCTTGGACCATGTGGCTCTACAGATCCATCTGCTGGCTTTTCTGCGTCTCCGGCAAACGTGGGAGTGGTTGGTGTGGTCACAGTGGTCTCCATTGCTGCCAGCGTCGTCTTCTGATAAAGGAGTTTCTGAATGTTGGGCCCTGCTGGCCCCTCCGGCTCAGTAATAGAGCTGCGTTTCTTCAGGGGCCGCGGGGCGTTGTACAACTTCTTCCTGAGGGCTTCCAGGTCGCCATCGCTCTGGTGCCTGTAGGGGTTGGAGATAAAAGGAAGCAGCTTGGTGGGGCTGAGGGGACGAGGAGTGCGCTCCGTTTCTGGCTGGTGCCCTTCGGACAGACTGGGACCACTTGCACTATAACCAGCGTCATTAGTGTCCATGGAAGACGAGTGGCGCTCCAAGTATGGATTCTCGGGATGTGGCGAGCCTCCACTTGGAATCACCGGTTTGCCGTAAACTACAGACACAGAAAACAAAAAAGTAAGATCACGCCGTCCTCCTGCCGCTTCTGTTAGACCTGAACAGCTAACAAAGTCAGACGAAATGCAAAGCGTACTGAAATAATTAAAAGTGGAGCCATGTTAACGCAGCCTTAAGCCTTTTATAGTGTATCATCCACCCCCCAACCCCGAACCAGCTGTAGACTTAAAGACTGAACTAACTTTAGCTCGTACAGAAAAAAATATGTGCTTTACCATCTCGAACTAGTCTTTAAATACACAAACATACATTTAAAATGCTGAATTTAACTTGACTTTAACATTCGTACCGCCAACAAATCCGTTCACGCGTGTTTGAGCCCTGTTCAGTGCTCCTTGGATCCCAGGCTGGAAGGGTTTTCCAGAGCCAGCCTGCTGGGTGTACATGGAGTAAATGGAGCTGGCTGCTACAGTCTGTGGTTTAGTCATGCTGGTGTCTTTGGGAGATGGAAGCTCGGGGGTGAAGGGTCGTACAGTAGCAGCGGGTGGAGTGTCCTGCTTGGAGGGTAGGGGGAGTGTCTGACTTTGTGAGGGGGGGAGAGGGCTGCGTCCCTGGGCAGCCGGGGGCTGCTGACTGTGAGGCTTGGCCTTGGGGAAAGTGCCGGTGTTGAGGCCTGGTTTGATGTAAGGGATGGCAGCGGGACCTTTTGGTTTACTGGGGACAGGAGGCGGCACCTTGACTGGAGCCTTGGGTGCAGACTGGAATTGAAGAGAAAATAAAGAATCAATTTGAGCTTCGGGTTCTCTCCCATGACGATGCTTAGTTTTTGTTTTCTCACCTGAGCATCCCTGACTAGGTCGTCACTGCTCTGGTTTTTGCGAAGTGAAGCAGCGGGAACTTCTACAGGCTCAAACATGGAGAACGGACGCACCTTCTTGTCCCTCTTCACTCCAGACTCATCTAATCAGAACATTTTTAATCAGCTTACTTAGTTTGGAGTTCACACTGGAGACTCACACTTAAAACTTTTCACCAAACCAAAAAGGAACTGCAGTTCATTTTCTATCATTATGCTGTTTGCTGTGAAAATCTCACCTTGGTCTGTGTTAGAGCTGGCATGAGAAGTCATCCGTGGAAGAGTCGAAGCGTGGCCGTAACCATTGGTGTTTGAATCTTGAGTCGGAGCATTCCAGTCTGCCAGCTTTCCAGGCTGAAGACCTGAGGGACCACGGGGGGATGTTATGAAGTAACAACAATAAAACATGTTACATTTCAGTTGAAACAAAAAATATAAGTACCAACAGCACACCAAATGGAATCAGATTACTCAAATTAGATAAACACCAAGTTTACCACCCTTTGTGCTGGATTTAGAATAGCTTTTCTTACTGGATGACGGGCTAAGACAGTCAGTGGCTGTGCATGTCTGTAGACACCTGCAGTGTGATGATCAACCAAGCATGGAGCTTAAGCTAATGGTGAAACTGACACTTGAAAAAGGTTTAAAAAAAATGTTTCCAACCAAAGACCGTAACATGCTTATGGTGGAAGTCTACAACTATCTTAAACACATTTAGCAGACGTGATACAAGTAGGATGGAAAAAACCTTCACAGAACATCAGTTCAAGTGAAAGCTATGCGTTTGTTCCAACCGACCCGTTCGGTGTCAGATGAGGAAAACTCAAATGTCATGGCTAAACGTAACACACCACATCTCAGCTAATGGAACGACTAAAGTGAAAAAAGAGAATGTGTAACAAAACATAAACATGACAACATAGTTACAGCAAAGCACGCACACAAACACGAGGGTGTACCTTTTCTTTTAGCTCGCAGCTCTTTCAGTGGCTTAAGCAAAAACATGGCTTCTGAGGAAGATGCGTTTGGAAGACAAGAAAAACAAATCAGACTTCCGTAACTGGTTTGCTCCGGACATGATGGCGGCTGAGCTCCAGCAGCAAGCCCGTACAGGGGTCATGAAGAGAAGTCTGTCTGATACGTAGCTCTACACTTCTAAGGAGAACCGGGATGGAGCGTAGCCACACATCCCTATCTCTCCGTTTCCCATATTGAACATCAACTCAGCACGCATAAGTAATTGCATGCAACAGCAGAACAGACTGGGAGGGAAAAAAGAGCTCTGACTGCCAGGACAGGGCATCATTTTAAAGAAGACATTGTGTGCTGAAGAGGAAGTTTGAGAGGGAAAGTGGGAGATTGCTTCTCCCGATATAGCACATGTACAATTCTGATGTTTTCATGCTACAAAGCAAACAGCGAGCAGACTTTCCACTGAAAATGAGAACTTAAAATACCGGTGTTGGTTAGACCCGTTGGGTCTTGTGTCCTCAGACTCAACTAAATGGTCCAATCATGTTTTGTTGTGTTAAATCTTCAAAATAAAGATTGATTGAAATGCAAACAAAACATTTTTTTTCCCGCACAAAGCTGAAAATAGTAATTCATGTATTTTTTACCAACTGGTAATATAAGGGATATTTCATTGGACACAACTTGTGTATGTGGAGAACTGTAACCCCGGCTGTCCACCATGACGCGTACATATGCAGCAGTTAGCTGCTGTGACAGGGATGGGTGCTTTTCCACCGCCCAAGAAGTTCTGGATGTGATCCAAAAGCTCAGCTAAACTTTTGCTTTGGGTTTAATTTTTACACACACTAAAATATCTGGCAACTTTCAAAATAAAAGACACGTGCAGATTTCCAGTTGCCTAGCTAGTAAAATAAATTGTCATTACCATCGAGACTTCCAGAGCCATAACCCAAATCCTTTTTTTGATACATGGTGACATCTTTCTCCACATGCTTCTTATTGTGTGGACTGCCAATCTTGCAATCTTGGGGCAGCAGTAGCTCAGGAGGTAGAGCGGGTTGCCTAATGATCAGAGGGTCAAGGGCTAGATCCCAGCTCCTGCCAGGGGTTTCTGCTGCTGTGTCCTTGGGCAAGACATCCGACTTGCCCGTGTTGGTCAGATGGGCTGATGGTGTACAATGGCAGCCTTGCCTCTTCCAGAGGCCAAGGCGGCTGTGGCTACATAGTAGCTTACCATCATTGGCAGTGTGTGAATAAGAGTACATGGAAAGCACTTTGGGTGACTTTAAAAGTGCTATATAAATCCAAGCCATTATTATTATTATTATTATTATTATTATTATTATTATTATTATTATATATTTATTTATTATTTTTGTCCCAGTGATTTTGGCTACCGTTTCACATCTGCTGAGCTCTATTAAATCTATAACATTAGGCGCCTCCAGTGGAAAGCCTGGCCAAGTCTCATCACAAAAAGGCATTTTTTACTCACAGCAAACATAATCAGTCTTTTTTTAGAAAGAAAAACTGAGGATAGATGCTGAACTTCACACTCTGCAGGGCAAAATCACATCACACCATAAATGAGGTAACTGGCTACCTTCTGAGCTCAAAGTGACATCACAATTAGTGGGTGTGTCAGTGTCCTCTGTTCCTGCAGCAGGCGGGACGGTTTCACCCCACATGAATCAGAATGTATTAAACAAGGGAAGGTAGCTGACAAAACTCAGCAGCTTAAGATTTTAAGACTCTTTTTAAATAAAAAGCTATCTAGAATAAGCATTTCAGTAAATAACTAATGTAAGGTGATGGACGAGCTGCCCAACTGTCGTCTCTGCTTCCTTACCTGTCTCGGCCTTGGTCTGTAGGTCGTTGGCTGGAAGGGTGGCGGTACCGTCTGGGTATGTCGGTTTCACAAGCACGTCGTGTCTGACCTGACCCCGGGGCATGGTGGACGACTGGATGTATGGGCCAACTGCTGCCACTCGAGACGGACCTGACTGCTGTCCAGTTTGGCCATCAGAGGGCAGCTGGAGGGCAAAACAGAACGGAAAAAAAAAAGAAAGAAGATGCACTTATTGCCATCGCTGTTACAAACTAACAGACTAGCTTTAACTCTCAAATCTTCAGATTATTATAAACTAACAATTTGTTGTGATAACGGTTACTTTTTGTCCCTTTAAAAGAAAATGAACATGCTCCAATTTTTATGCTGCCTGTGAAACAGATACAAAAAGCCACACAAAGCCGGAGTGCAACACGATACATCACAGACACGTTCGGAAAGCGACAGTTTAATAAAGTACAGCTGCAGTAGCAAGTTAGTTACCTGACGGTGAGTTTCTTTGGAAGCCCTCTCTTTAGTGGGATAGCCATTCTTGAAAAAACAAAAGCACAAACATGCAAAAACTGTTCAAAAAAACTAAAATAAACCGTTCTATTCACTTTTTATAAGCCTTTTCTAGTGTAAATGGTACCAGGATGGTTTAGGATCTCTGTTTGGTCTATATGGTTTTGTGTTTGCTGAGTGATGTTTGGTAGGAGGAGAGAACAGTGTCGTCGGGTCTTTGTGCTAGTGTGAAAAAGGATCACTCATTATGATTCTAGGCAGGGTGTGGGTAAATCACCTTCTCACTATACAGACTTTCATCTCTAAAACATACACATGCACAAACACATGCTAATGCCATTCCTACGCTATTATACATGTCAAAAGGAACTTTAAAATAAAAGTTGGGGTGTTTTAAAGTGGTGTTTATCAAAAACAACAAGTGGAGGGTCGATTATTTTTCTGATTTCACTCTGCCACCACAGCCGTGTAAAGTGTAGCAGTGAAGAAGTTAAGTTCCCCTTCGTTTTGTGTTTCGTAAACAAGCCTGATGACTCCCCATGACAACCTGTGTACTAAACAATTCCTGTGAAAGGAAGAGTTGAGTGACAGAACAGTAAACTCAGCACAAAAACCTTCACTTGCTATGGAAGCAAAGTCTAAACCTGAAACGTTCAAGGATTCCAAATATGCACCAAATCCTTTTCGTGAGTTTTTATTAAATCCATTTTTAAAGCTAAAATCTTTTCCATTTTGTAAGATGATAGTGCGTCTTTAAGGAAACTGGTTCTTCAGCTTGTTTTTGTTAGGAATGAAGCCAGAAAGATAGCATCTAAGCTAACATTCCAGTCTGAATTAATTTTTCCCCTTGACTCGGAACAAACAGGACAGTAAACGTAGCTAAAGAGTGGGAGGCTGCACAAACACAACATGCAACCCTGATTTTATAACAAAAATCAAAAAAGCCATTTCATTGGGAAAAAAAGTCTAAAGAAAGGAAAAATTACAGATAAAAATAAAAAGGTTTTTTTTTTTTGACTGAAGACTTGATTTGGTTTTCCTAAACATCATGCTGGTCTGGCTGACCTGAGGCTTCACATAAAACAAAACACCTCACTTTAGGAAAATCAAGAGAATTCTATCACTGATTAGCATCAGATAGAAAGTTTAGCAAACATACAAACTGTATATGGAGCTAGGATTGGGACAATATTCAGCATAACTTGTACCAAGTTTTGTAACTTCAAACATGTTTCATCACATGTAACTTTGGATTCGTAACTTGTAACTTTAGTTTTCTAACTTGTAATTCTCAATTCATACTTGTATTTCTTGTTTTGTAACAGGAACATAGTATTTTGTAAATGTATTTTTTATTTTGTAAAATCAAACTTTTATTTTGTACATTTACTACTCATTTTGTAACATCATTCATTCAGAAACATGAAACTTTTGTTTTGTAACTAGCAGACTTCCAAATTGAAAAAATCAAGGTACAAGTTTGAAATCAAAGCTCTTAAAGCACACATTTCATTCTACAGGTACAAACCTCAAACCTACAGTTACAGATCTTTTTGTCTCGATTCTAGCGTCAGTGGGAGGAACTTTTCATGTTACAAAATGAGTAGTAAATGTACAAAATAAAAGTTTGATTTTACAAAATAAAAAATACATGTACAAAATGAAAATTTCCTGTTACAAAACAAGAAATACAAGTACGAATTGAGAATTACAAGTTAGAAAACTAAAGTTACAAGTTACAAATCCAAAGTTACATGTGATGAAACATGTTCCAAGTTACAAAACTTGGTACGTTACGCTGAATATTGTCCCAATCCTAGCTCCATACCTTTACAGAAAGAGTGAAAGCTGTGTCTGATTGTGGTGACGTGACAATACTCACAGGTACGTTCTCTTTCTGCTGAAGGGCTGCTTTCTTCTTCCAAAGCCTGTCTCGAAGCTCGGTGATCCGTTTATCCATAGAGGCCACCTCCAAGTTGCGTTTGTTTAAATTCTCTCTCTGCTGCTGCAGCTTTGAATTTTGATCTTGGTTGAGCTTATTTCGCACCTGACCACCAAAACAACACAACACAAAGGAAGAGTCGATCACTTTTGCTTTTCTAACAGACATTGTGTGAGTTTGACTAAATCTGATTTCTGCTCACCTGTAACTCTTTATAAAGGCGATCGAGTTCTGCCATTGAGCTTTGGTTGTCACGATTATTCTCCATTTTGCTATTTTTCAGCAACTCCAGCTGTCGAGTGAGTTCCTCCACCTTGGACGCAGCCATCACTAATTCCTTTTGCTTCTGCTGGAATAGGTTGTTCATTTGCTCAATTTCTTCAACTGCAAAAGGAGACAAATTCAGTTTGATTGGGTTGAAGTAGTGAGAAGACAAAAGCATGGTAATGCACTTTTCTTTCCTCAATCTAAACTAAAATCTTTTCAAATAAAATTTCATACATCAATCAATTCAGAGTTTGAAGCTCACCGAGTTTTCCATTGCTGATTCGTTTCTGCTCCACCTGGCCCTTGAGGGCCCTGACCTTCTTGAGTCGAGCTTCCTGGTTCTCGACGTTTTCTCTGAGGCGCTGGACTTTCTCCTGCTCAGATGCCTGCTGCTGCTGGCGCTGCTCCTGTTGCTTCAAGTATCGCAGTCGCTGCTCCTGAAGACAAAAAAACGATAAACTTATTAATAATAAACAAACATTCCAAGAAAACCTATAAAAGAAGGACTTTTAACATATCACCCAAGACGTTTTAGAGAAAAACACTATTTAAACTATAAACACTGGTTTGGGAAACAGTAAATAAGAACAAATGAATCTTCCGTGTTTTGAGTGTTTCATAACGACTTAGTGCCTCACTGAACTTTATTGATGAACAAATTTCAAGAAGATTTCCACCTCTTTAGGTGCCGGGCATACGCGACTAACTGGAAGTCACGTTCCTTGTTTTTCTTTAATGTCCTCAGGCAGGCGCTTACACACACACGCGCGCGCTCGCACATGCACGCCCTACGTTTTTAAAGTAAACCCAAGGCACAATGTAAATCAGGATGGACGCATTTGAAGGAACACCAGCAAAAGTTCATGTGATAGAAAGATTTTTTTTTCTTCTAAATGTATTGTTTCAACTAATGAAACAAAATGAAAAACAAATCCGAGTCAATAGAACAGATGCCTTGAGACACCAGAGAGAACTAACTGCAGGGAGTTTTCCGGAATGTCACACAAATAACATTCCTCCAGCAGCCACTAAAGTTTCACAGCCTCACTCGTGACCTGTGTGACCTTTGTTGTGCTCGAGTGATCCATTCAGTTTCTCCATTTTGACTTTTTACAAGACACGCCATGCTGGCAAATCAGCACGATATTACTGCAATGGTGTGTCGTGTATATATAGAGCTGCCGCTATCGAATATTTTAGTATTCCAGTATTCTATCGAATCGTCCATCGATTAATCGAGTCTTCTATCTGATGACGTTTCAAGTGAAACGAGACTGTGGTCTGCAGCTACAATTCTAAAAAAATAAAACAAAACGATTAAGGGATCAACAATATGTTAATAAATATTTTATGGAACTAAATTTGTCTTATATTTCACCCATTTTAGTCTAAACATATATTCACATATGATCAGTAGAATTGAATTATTTTAGTAACATGTTCAGTAGTAATTTACTGGAAATTATAATAACATTTAATATCTACTAGTAACAACGTAATGGTGGCATATCTATTTTATTATGTACAGGTTGGCGACATAATCCAGTTTAAATTGTGTTCAAATATAGAAGCGTTTGTGAATTACATGCTACAACAGCTTGCGTCGACCTAATGTGGTGTGTGGAGCAGACTCGCCAACACTCAGTAGCAACAACAGCAGACTCCAGGTAGCAGCTGCAGCTTCTCTGCGCCACACCGCTGCAGCGGCAGAGATCCACAAATAAACAGGATGGCGGAGATTTTCTTCCACTTCTGGAGTTTAGTCATTTACAACCATCACGTTTTTTTCTGAACTCCACTTGATCGCGATTCGTGAGCGTGCTACACATTAGCTTAGCATTAGCCAATCTACCGGTCTCTTGATCCCAGACTTTGTACAGTTTCTGCCTTTTACAATGGTTTCTGTCTTTGCTGGTCCCCCATTTTCCTCCTCACACCTAGATTACAACAATGTGCGCCAGTAAAATGTGTTCTGATGAAGTAAAAAAAATTAATTAAGGAATTTTATTAACTGAACCATTTGAATCCTTCGATGATTTCTTTCAGTCCTACTTATAAATGAGCCATGCCAGCATGGTGAAGCGCGAATGTTGCAGCATTCGTTCCGCCTTGCTTGGTAGCAATATTGCAGTAATTGTCTGCCTCATGAACAGCAATTGCACAATGGTGCAACAGAGAGGTGTCATGATCACGTGGAGTTACTGCCAAGCTCCGGCTGGCAACTATATTAAAAATGAAAGTAAAAACAGGCCGTCAGTAACATTTTTGTAAACAGAACCAGCTGAGATGATAATCTGGAGCAATGCAGTGCTCCAGGAGCTTCTCTCCATTAGAGCTGGAGGTCAGACCACCAGAGACTGCACGGGGGGACTGTGGGGGACAGACACCTTTAGGTAGCCTGGCCAGCCAGACTCCTCTGTTTAATTCTGCACAGAGAAAGGGTTTGGGAACTCTCCAATTCAAATAACCCCCCCGTGAACATTCTAACCGAGCCAATCAGCGCTGAGTAGCGTACATCACACACCACAACGCCGAGTTTGTCATAAACATGGCGACTGAAGCGGAGCTCGCTGCGGCTCTTTCCTCTGTTCTAAATGACTTGAACGTCTTTAAAACAACAAGTGGAAATGCTAAAAACCTTTCCTCTAAAGAAAGATGTTTGCACTGTCGCCAGATGCCATTTTTGACTACAGCTAAAAAACTACAGCATCGCGGACGTCACACACAGCGAAACTCAGTTTCTCATAAACAACAAAGACAGTGGCGGAGTTCGCTGCTGCTCTTTCCTCTGTTCTAAATGACTTGAGTATCTTTATACCACAAGTAGAAGCGATAAAAGCATTTCTTCTAAAGAAAAAGATGTTTGCGCCATTGCCAGATGCCATTTTTTTCTTACTTACAGCTAAAAAACTACAGCGTCGTGCGGTACAGTCGGCAGTTCCATCTTGTTTTCTGATTGGTTATTTTTGAGCTGGCTAGTCCCGCCCCTCATGTGCCTTTCGCCTGTGAGTTACCAGACTCTTTCTCTGTGCAGAATTAAACAGAGGACGAGTCTGGCAGGCCAGGCTAACCTTTAGGAGCAGCTTGTCAAAAAATAAAAAATAAACAAATTCGTAACGACCAATAAAAAACAATTTATGTCCAAAACAAACAAAAGTCTGCGACAGCGCAGAGACTGCCCCCATACCCCCCCTTTGCATAATCTTTAGTAAAAAGAACCCGATGGCACAACGTTACCGCCAGTCTGACCACTTATAAATGACCTAAGGCTCCCTGGTGCCGCTTCACCGGTGCAGCTAATTGACGGCACTGCTTTGTAAAAACAGCTACTGAAACTTCCATCTTTACCACTCAAACACTTGAAACAACTCTTCACTTCTCCAAAATATCTTTAAGCACCTTGGAAGCGAGGACTTGCTGCTGAGCCTCGATCTGCTGCTGCTGCCTGGCAGCCATCTCTTGTAGCTCAGCCAAAGTCATGTCCATCCGAGGTGCAGCAACCTAAACAGAGACAAGTGGATTAAGGAACTAAATAAAATGCTTTCATTTGCTGTAGAAGATCATTACTGTCATTGAAAGTGTATCCCATGAATGATGTCACTGTTAAAATTAGATAACAGGTAACAGAATAGTGTCTTGTTACAACTCACCCCGTTCTCCAGTTTTCTGTCTGTGGGGGCCCTTACTCCATTCCTCTTTGAATCCGAACCTCTTGACCCTCCTGAGTCACAGACATGAAAGAGATTATTAAAAAAAACTCAATCTGCTGCAGGACTTCATATAAGGCACCTTCTGGGTCTGAATTAGTGAAAACAGTGTAGACAACTGGCCTTTACAAACAGCTGTGAAAAATGACGGGAACTTTCGCTCGTCTTTTTACTTGCTCGTGACTCAAACGAGCACAAATGCCCAGGTTTCTCTGAGATAGCTGTTGGGAAGGGTGTGCATCCATTCTGATTAACTGGCTTTGTCCTCTGGAAAACAACAGGGGTCAGCGCCCTTTGTTATAATCTCGGGATTTAACCAAATACATAGCTGTCTTTGAGTGGATCTAAAACCTTGTATGCTTGAGTTTAATCCAAACCTAACATTTTTGCTGTGAACTAGACATCTTAACTGGACAAAATGATCTAACTGATACCACTCCATTTCATCGTTTGAGCTGATGATAAACAATAACAAAGAAGTAACTTTTATGTAACCGCAGTCATCAGAAATAATAGTGTTTATCCAACATGGTCACCTCAGAAATAGAAAATCAATAAAGCCTCATTTAAAATGACCGTTTCAGTAAAAAGGGAATGCAGAGCTTTATTGAAACGGCTCAACAAACAGTGTGGGAAACAAGAGGAGCATAAGATAACAGGTGGGGAAAACAACACTAATCCTCAGGCTAGACTCAAGCTGTGAGGGGTAAAAAGGGCTTAGTTAGGCAAGCGAGGCCTGAGCGCATAGCAAACACTATACCTCCATTTTCCTAACAAAATGAAAGATAACTAGCTTATACTAACGAGAATGGGAGGCACTGCTTTCCTGTTGGACGTCTATCTCTACTGCATACTACAAAGTGTGTTTTATTTCATTTCTGCTAACTTAAATCATTATCTAAGCAACAATTAACAGTTTAATTTGAAAACTAAACCCACCTGAAAGGGGGTTTAGTTTACTCTTGGCTTTGAAAAGGCTAGTCATGAAAATTCACTTAGAAGGAGGGCCTGTGCATGAAATGCTGCTGGCATCTCTGGTATTTCTAGTGTTGGTGTCTAGTGTCTTTCTCTAAGGACAGTCCCAGCTCAGTTGGGGCTTTTGTGTCAAAAGAGCGGTCACAGAACTCCCCACATTAATGTTGTTTGCTACAGAAACAAACGTACCCGATTCCCTGCTGGGGGCTCGGTTGTGGCGCAGAAAAAAGCGCACCTCTCCCCTGTGCTGTCCCCATCTCTGGAGGACATCCAGCATCCTCTCACCATCACCTACAGCCCTCTCTGTAGATAAAGAACATAAAAGCATATAAAACACAACCACACATTTAGCCAGCCAAGGTCAAACGAAACGAGACGAAACCAAAGCAGGTCAAGTGAGCCTGTGCCGTTTGTTTTGCAAATGCTTGCTGCATCTTGTTGATCTCTGACCGAAGACTTCAGAAAAAATAAATAATCTGCTGTCTTCTGCTTGGCACCGAGCCAACGGGCTCATCTACCATTCTCCTAACATTTTAATCTGCAGCCCAAAGCTTACTTCATTACACAAAGGGACACTTACAGATCAATGACACTCATTATTACGACTGAGGAGCAAATAAATAAATAAAAACATTAAGATGGTTATACTTTACACCCAAACATTATATCTAACGATTTTTTTAGGAGTCTGTGACGAACAGCTGCTAGATGAGCCTGTTTTTTAATACGGCGCAGTCTCACTTCAGCCTACTTGTGGAGGTACTCAAACATAATAATTGGCTCTTTCCTCACCCGTTCATGAGCGTCACCATGGAAACGGCTAAGAAGCCTGGCTCCTTGAGTTTTATTTTGAATATTTATTGTATTCCAAGAAAAAAGGGGGAGAAGGAGGCAGGCGTAAAATTTCGAGCCCCCTCCCAAGCACCCCTCATCCGAGAGACGAAGAAGAAATTCAGGTGTTCGCAACGGGGATTTTAGGCCGTTTCTTATTTGCATTTCAGATTTGAACTCAAAAACAGGCTCCAACAAACGAAATGGAGCAGATGACCCCCACAGCTCATCTCCATTATGCGATCATAACATCCTCACTCACCAGATCCGCGCCACATCTCAGACAAGTGGCAGTCCGTTTCTCCCGGCTCCTTACACAACTCCACCACATCCCGACACAGAGTGTCTGGGGTAACGGGAACCTCAGTAAAGTGTTGGTCATTGTTACTGAGGTATACAGTCAGGAACATCTGAATGGGAAGAGAGGGAAGAATGAATGTTACTCAGGCAGATAAGTTAAACAGGAACACATGATCTAAGATCTTGGTTCGATGACATCAGAGCAAACACTAAACTCGTGTGTGTGTGTGTGTGTGTGTGTGTGTGTGTGTGTGTGTGTGTGTGTGTGTGTGTGTGTGTGTGTGTGTGTGTGTGTGTGTGTGTGTGTGTGTGTGTGTGTGTGTGTGTGTGTGTGTGTGTGTGTTTCTTAATAGCTGTATTTGTTTTCAAAGTATCATTCCTTTACGTCAACAGAGCAATCAGAAAGCCACTCCTAAAATTCCATGTCATCCCACATCATGGAACTAAACTACTGAGCAATGGTTCAATCCCAAATCACAGATAATACACGTCCCTACACATTCTGGAGAGGCTCTGTTTTCACGCCAGTGTGTGAAAGACTGATTGTAAATATTGTTTCAGAATAACCTCAAAAAGTCGTAGGCAGCCTTAAATAAGATGGAGAAGGCGTGCGGGTGTGGATATTCTCACATTAAAGCAAAAACCATTTTTATATAGTGCTTAGATATAATGTGTGGACTCAATTTATAAAAAATATATTCTTAGAGAATATGAAGGTCATATAATCCAAATTAAAATGAAGAGTTGGAATTGTTGACATTTAAAAACACAAAAATTAAGCAGAACTATTCCAAATCTGTCTTGCGTGTAAGTTATTAACAGATCTTTGCTTAAGAGGCTTTAAAGGCTGTGCTGGAATATGCCACAACAACCATAATCTGCTCGCACATGGGGCTGACAGCTTAGATAGCACAGCCATAAAACCACCATCGTAAAGAAAGATGGCTCAAGGCCATGACATCAGCTGACTTTACTGAACCGTTTTATTTGAGCCACAGGTTTTAGTGTAGTTCTCATTCATTTCTGGTTGTTTCAGTGAGGGTCAAATAAACAAGCAGCCACCCAATAATGTGGGGAGGGTAAAAAATGACATGTCTGGGCTAGAGAGCAGGAGTTTCTGTAAACTGTGGGAACATCAGATCAGCTGGGTCACAAAAACAAAAGATTGAGGGGACTATGCTGAGCAGCTGCAGCCATAATGCAGCAAACAAAAGTAACTGTGGGATGCTCCAAGCAAAGAGCATTCTCTTTTATGTCTACCTAAAATTAGACTTCAGTGATTGAGTGGATGGCATCATTGCTCTAACAATCTCCTGAGCAACATACACAAACAAAGGCATAGTCTGGTGGTTTTGAGTTTTTGTTGCCATTTTGTAACGATTGTGAGTTACAGAAAAGAATGAGTATGGGTCTGACTAAGGACCAGGCTCACTTAGCTTGTTTAATAGGGAAGTTGATGAAAGAACCAGAGAGAGACAGACAGACAGACAGACACAGAGAGAGAGAGAGAGAGAGAGAGAGACAGAGAGACAGAGAGACAGAGAGAGAGAGAGAGAGAGAGAGAGAAGTCATCTGGCTAAAGGGATAACATAACTGGCCTTTGGTGCATTTAAACACAGCATGGGAGCTGACGAAAGCACCTCCCAACTTAAGACAGGAAATGAAAAATACAAAATACGAGTCAGTAAAAGCAGAGAAAGACAGCAATCAAAACACACCATAAATAGTGAAAATAGCCTTAAAAAACGATATCTAAAATGGTAAAAACAAGCATAGAAGGTGGTCATAAGCCAAAAGTTAGGTCATAGAAATGGGTCTTCAGACTTGGTTTGAAGACCGAGAACAACGATGACTGCTGTATGAAGATGGGGAGGGTATTTCAAAGGAGAGGTGCAGCATGCACAAAAGCCCACTCCCTCCTTGCATTATATTTCATTTTGTGGGTACGCACAGCAGCAAGCAGTTGGCTGACCTCAAAGAGCATGCTAGCACATAGGGTGTGAGTTGCTTTGGAAGGTAAGAGGGTGCCAGGCCGTCCAATGCCTTATAGGCAAAGAGTAAGATTTTAAAACAAAATCTGAAGGTCACAGGCAGCCAGTGCAAATGTGCCAAGACCAGTGTAACTGGACTACGTCGACTCGTGCTCGTCAGAAACCTTGCAGCAGCATTCTGCAAAATCTGCAGCCGGTTCAAGGCTGAAAGGGGAGTGCCGATGTATAGTGATTTTGCATAATACAAACGTGAGATAAAAGCATGTGTCACTGACTCCAAATGTGATCTTCTAGGTAGAGGTTTAAGGTGCGTCAAATGGTGCAGTTGAAAAAATAAATAAATAAACACAAGGTGAAAACTGTATTTATCTGAGGTGCCACTGAAAAATTTAAGTCCAGTTCCTTACCAAGGTAAGTGACAGATTCTTTAGGCTCAGTAGATGTTAAATTGGAAACTGATAAGAGTGCAGGAAAGGTTTCTCAGCTCAAAAATAATGGACTCTGGTTTTTGCCTGATTAAGACTCGAGAAGTTTGCTGCTAACCCGTCTTTCACATCAGAGAGACAGCTACTTTGCCGCCCATGTCAGGCCCTTTTATTGCCAGAAAAATTCGACAATCATCTGCATATATGTGGTACCCGATTTCATGCCGCTGAAAGATATGTCCCAGGGGTAGCAGATAAACTGAAAATAGGTCCCAGAACTGAGCCCCAAGGAACCTCCCACTCCCCAGGAATGAAGGGTGAGGCACAGCCATCAATCTGCATGTCCTCTAGGTATGAATGGAAACAGTCAAGCGCAGACTCAGAGACCAACCCATGACTCTAGGTGATCCAGCAGAATTCTGCAATCCACCATGTCAAAGGCTGCTGACAGATCCAGCAGCATCAACGGTACATGCGACCCTAAATCAGACACAACCAAGATGTCATTAAACACACGATTCAGTGCTACGGTTTTATTGCATGTATTATCACTCTAGCTCCAGAAGTTCCAGCAACACAAGGACACTTGATATTGAGACAACAACCCAAAGCTGCCAGAAATTTAAATCACTTTGTTAATGTTGGAAGATAAAACGCCTTGGACGGACCAAATGAGAAGGTGAAAGCATCAGTAGGAGATTATGGTCTTGGAGAGCAGTAATTCCTACAGTGAGAGCCATTTCTCCTCGGTACTAAAGTTAATGATCCAGGAGCCAACAGTGGCCTCTCCCAGCATCCTTCTAGATGAGTTAGCACTTTCTTGCTGACCTCCATCAACCTTGTCTATGCAGTCTTCACCGAGGACTACACAAGTGCTTTACAGAAAAGTACACACAATCATGTTAAACATCAAGCTAATTTGAATATTTATTTCATTTAGCAAAGAACGAGTTATAGTTTGTCTTTCAATTACAAGCAAATGTGACAATACTGGTGTGAAAAATTAGTTAAAATCTTGTTTAAAAAGTGGTTTACGCCATAATACAAAATACTGCAGAGCACTGGATTCTGTGAAGAGGTGTACTTAGAGGAGACGAGTGGCTGGACTCCCTGTTTTGACTAAGCCAGACAAACTGAGGTTATTAAATATTCATAGAAACAACAACGAACAAAATTAAACAGCTCAATAACAGCCCAAAAGGCCCATGGAGCCAAACAGAACCTCTGCAGCTGATAAGAATAGCTTTACGTAGTCTCTTAGAATCAGATGAGCATCATTTCCACAGAATGCATGTGACAAATATTTGACAGAGATTTGCTACGCTTGCCTTCTGTATATTAAGTGTGAAGCGACAGAAATAAGAGCTGATTTGCACTCCTTCTGTCTGAGGTGGTCTAAACAGATCACCCTGGGACTCGGATGGGACATGCTGCCTCTGCAGTTCACTAGCATAACACGAGATTACCAATTCCATCATGACATCAGCAGAGTCTAAGCTGTTGCCCAGCCTTTAGGAAAGGCTAGGGGGCAGTTCATAACAAAATGACAAATCAAAGAAATGTACAGCCTGTCCTGTGGCTATTCAGACAGAGGAGCAGATGTGCAGCAAGGTCACTGGGGACATTTCTCACAGATTATGTTATTCTGATATAATAAACCTTTAACATTACATAGTAATGCATGATATACATTTTACATTTACCTGGTATAGCTTTAAATCCTTCAAATAGAGGTACAATGGTAATCATTTGGGCAAAACAAAAAAAGACATCTGTAGAGGTAAGACTTTAGACCAGGAGAACTGTATAGAAAGGTCTGGGAGTAAAATCCAGAGATAAAAGCCGTAACATCAAAACCCACAGACAAAAGACACTGTAATAAGAAGACATCTAAGAGAAGGAAGGAGACTGCAGCTGGCGGTGCTCCACCTGCCATGATGAAAGGAGCTGAAAGGGTTGGAAGACATGATGAAACACAAAGAGAACCTCAGTCACAGTTATTGCACTTAACTGCCTTCTTTGTTGGTGATTCCACTAGCATAAAGCTAGATAAGCTGAAGTGCCTGTAAGGCTGAGAACAGAGATACCGCTCACTAAGAACATCAGCTGTAAATGTGACTGTAAAAATGCTGATTTGGCTCTCATTAAAGTGAGAGCCCTGAAGAAAATGACAATGACCGCAGATGTGGGATGTTTTGAGCCTGTCCAGCTGTTTATTGAGAAAGACCTGAAATGTCAAATGTGAGAAGTTGGTCAATGACAGATGTGTTTGTTACATTTTTGATTGTCCACGACCATGGAGCAAGCAGAAACATAACAGAGTATAGAGCAGTTGGCATTTGTTGTATTCATGCAGTTGTGTGAAATCAGATCAAAGGAAAATTAAGTTATAAGGTAACTTGATAAGATGCTTCATGATCCTTCCATTCAACCTCAGACATGTCCCTCCTTGTAAAGGTCAATTCTGCTGCAAGTCTCTCTAGATAATTGCTCAAAAACAATTGGTCACATATTAAATTAAAGACCAAAACTGTCTGGCACTGCAGTTTTTCCAGTGTCAGAAATAAACTAATCATAAGGATTTACTCAGATGGAAGGGGTGTACTCTGCAATAACAAGGTGACACACAAATTAAAGCCCACCTGGTCTGAAAATGTTTTATTCGTTGAATTGACAACACAATTATCAACGTCC